GTCACAATTAAGGTGTTTAGCGTGATTAGTATGTGGCCGTTTACAGTCATAAAAACATATAAACAAGCAATTTAGTGACGTTTCCAGTAATACAGTCTCTTCTAATATAAGATTGAAAATAAATATTTTACCACCTAAAAGTCATAAGTCATTGTATTATGTATGTAAACATACAGGTCAAATACCATATTTAAAAAAATTTGCAGAACACAAATCTGGTAAATTTTAATTCTTGTACTTCACTCCACTGATAAATATGAAAAAAAGTATTGTTTTGAATTTAAATGCATTGATTCAAATAAAAAATTCTTTGAATCGAATCAAAATATGTTTGCTGCTTCACACACCTTTGCGAATCAGTGACCTGATCCCACTTCAATTTCCAGGGGTCAAACTTACCCAAATTGCTGCAGAACTGGTAAATGAACCCTCACAGGGTAGCTGCATGCCACCAAAAATTTGGATGGATAAAAAGTTAATGGACAAAATATTATAATTAAAACCATTCAAGTAATACAGCACAAATTTTTTAGGAGGGGGTAATTGAAACACCTTCACAAAGGGGGTTTGTTAAGGGATAATGGTTTAACACCATGAGAAAAGATATAACAGTGTAAAATAAAGACATTTTAAACAAAAACCATACGTTTATGTACCTATGGTTTTTGTTTATTAGATCATAAGGACACTTATACATCAACGTCAGAGCAAGAAAACAACTGAAAATAGAAAGTTAAAATATGAACTCGGAACTAAATGAGACCAGAAGACTTGCCAAACACCACACACATTTTGGAATCTCAACTTGACTGAAATATGAGAATCGTCAAAAAAATCCAGAACATTTGGATTGCTGAATATAGGACAACATCAACCAAGTAGGAAAAAAAAATACAGGTGCAATTTAGAAAAACTCACAATGACTTATAAAAAAATGAGAAAAAAACTTGTTAAAGGAACTATTAATAATTGATAGTTATCTTACTTATATTATAAATGTGAAAGTTTGTGTGTTTGTTTGTTTGTTTGTGTGTTTGAAGTTCAATCACGCATAAACCACTGGACGGATTGGGCTGAAATTTGGCATGATGATAGCTTACATTCCCAATTAAATATAGACATATTCTTATCTCAAAAATCCTTTTGGGCTCCGCCCCAGTGGCTCTGTAATTCCCCATGTTAACCTTAGGAGTATTCATATTTAAAGGGAATTAAAGAATTTAGTCAGCTGTTTCAACTAAAAAAGTTGGTTCTATGATATGGAAAAGCATTAAAAAGTTATAAGATTTACCAACAGGGTGCAGCACTATATTTTTTTTGCATTTATGAAAACAGCTAATTTGAACTAAGCAGCAACAAAAAACTGTGATTCGCAATGAGAATTGTCAAAGTAGGATTGTTTACAGTTATGTTTATGTTTTTCATTTCATGAATGATTTGTGATATTTTGCGAATTGTTGATAATTTATTTTTCTCTATTGTTTAGGTGTAGTGGTAGAACATTTAAGGCATTAAGTAGAACATTATGGTAGATGTGTAATACTATAGAATCCTGTAAATTTAAAAAAGCATATTTTATCAAACTGTGTCCTCCCTTATTGCAAACGCAAAGCTTGAGTATAACTGCAATAAGCATTTTATACTTATATTCCAACCCCGTACGAAGGACGGGTACTCTGCTAGTAATTATTATAAACCTTAGCCGCAGCAAACCTGCAAATTTCCATTTACCTAGCAGCTGGCTTCTACTAATATATCCCCTTAATATAAAGTTGACAGATTTTTAACTAAGAGTTTTTATTGAAATGCTGAAGAAATATTTATTATCAATATTTTTATGTTGATAGCTTAGAATGAAATTAACACATTCTTCAAATTAAACAAGCAAGCTCAACAGTTTATTATTTATCCTCTTTAAGAATAACATGAGAACTTTAAATTTTTTATGTTTTCTGTAACAGTTAAGCATACAAATGCAATCCAGTATACTAAATTATTTCTTTTTTAAGCTCTGCAAAATAGTTCAGAAAGAAATTAACAATTTTTTTCAGGGGGTTAAAAATGTAAAAATCTATTTTTATCCCTATAAAACCTCTTTCCCATGGTCTGATCATACTGGTTGAACTTGCCAACACCCAAATAAATGTAAGTGTTGTTGTTTGTACCAAATTTCATGCATCATTTTTACTCAATTTACATGCTAATGGACACACACATTAAATAAATATATATATAAATTTGAACCGATATTGTTTTTGGCCTATGGGAATATAAAACAAAAAAGTAAATCCATCCCAGGTCTAAATCTTACAATATGTACTGTTGTGTTGTCTGTGGTGTCTTCAAAATTTTCACACCTCAGTAAATAATGTCACTTATATTTAGTTCTATTCAAGGAAAGATGTTTTTAAACGTTTGTGTGAATTACTACTAACTTTAAAACATTCAGTTAATCAGTGTTTATAGAAAAAGATGCCGAAATGAATTGTTAGAAAAATATAAAGAAACATCATTAGATGTGTACAATACACCCTTGACTTCTCAGCCGTGGCCCATTTGGCAATCGCGGCATGCCTTGGTCATCACGCTTGTTCACTTTCAAGTCCACTCGTTCTCAAAATAGATTTTACCGATTGCTATCAGCTAGACTATCAGTTTAGGCATTCTGTTTATCTTGCTCCTTTCTTTATCAACAATCCAACTACATCATGTTTGTTAAAGCTTTAACTAAAAGTATAATTTTTGTTACGATCAGGCCTACCTCAGGATTCAGAGCTACAATGAGTAAAATCACTAAGAATGTTAAATTTAAAAGGCATACAAATAGACCCATTTATTGTTTCAAACAAATATCTCAATTTCAAATCCAACACAATAATCAGCTGTCGGGTAACTTCATTTAATGTGATACAAGCTGCTATACCCGTGCTTTGCAACGGGAAGAAAATGTGACCTAGAGACCTAAAGTGGTGCTGATGTGTGTTTTAAAATACAGCAACTCTATGATTTAGTTTGAAAATATAAACTGATTAAGTGTAAGCCTACTTACTAAGAATAAGTACTTTCAAACCCCTACTTTTGATGTCAATAGATCCAAAAGAATATGACAACATACCTTAGCGTAGCAATAGCATCAATTGCTTCATATTGATGCTTCATGAATGACATATTTTACCATAATTCTTCAATTTTAGTCAAGCCTCTTTACATGTAGCTTACTATATAAATTACAAAATGAAACTTTGAGCAATAACTTACTTTACTAAACGTATACCACCTTTCTTTAAAACCAAACATAACGCTCCTCGATCTACATAAAGCGTTACAAACATTTTTCTGGGAGTAAATAAACAAACACCAGTTCATTGTACTGGCCAGCTGTTTTATCAACTAAATTAAATTTATTCATCTAAACTTTGGAAGCATGCCAGCCGCAGCCCTTTGGAAATCAGCCTGTGGGGCAGAGCCCTTAGGAAATTCGTGCAAATCAATACTTTTCGGCAAATCTACACACTCTAAGCTTCATTTTGATGTGCCATATGCCTATATTTTTATTTGGTAAATAGCCTTAAACGTTTACATAAAATTTGATTGTATCACTTTAATAATATAATAGATGATTGGTCTATTGGACGTAGCTGAAGCTGTACAAATTTTCAACCCACAGCTTGTGAACAGAATGTATGTAACAATAAGTTCCCATTTTAACGTTTGATTTTTTGTAATCTTACAAGATCCACTGAACAAATATGAAGTGTTATTCTTGATTGATAGTATGGAAATGACAAAAGTATCATAAAATCATAATAACCCAAAATCGACTTCAGGATTGTTGATACATTTTAAACCATTAAATGTGCAAAATGGGAATGCAATTCAAGCCAGTCAATAGAGTTCAATCATTTCTCATTACATTAGTTGACATCTACTTGTTTTTTATTTTAATTTTTAAGTAGTCTACTAAAGAGTTGCACAAATAGGTAAACCAAGCAACTCATCGCTCGTAAAATTTCAAGACATATTTGTAAACAGTTTTATCCAATGTAAACCAACTGAAACATTAAGCTCTCGCTTAACACATTAACTAGAAAAAAAGCTCAAACAAGAAGTAATTTTGGAGAAATTGAATCTTTTGTAGTATTTTGGCAAGTTACATCTGTATTTACCCAAGCTAATCTGACTTCTCTATTTACCACGAGGTTAATATTGGAGGAAAGAGGAGAAAATATGACAAAGCGTATCTTTGTTGTAACTTTCTATTAAACACGTGACTACTTGTCATATTTTAACACATTCAGTGCGGTTGCGCAATGGCTCGTGGCGGGAACAGCTAATGCGCTACGTGGTTGAGTGCGCAAAAACATTAAAATATTGTTTCATCCAAATGAGAAGCACATTGTTGCATGTACTGTGTTCCAGTCGTTGTGAACGTAGGATTACATTCCAACCCAACAGATAGCAGAACTAAACAAAACTGCTAGCAGGCCCTCAGTACTGCCAAATGGAGGGGAAAAGCGGGGGGAAATCCCAAATACACAGTTAAAAAATACCACAAAATAGGTGCCAAGCACAATTTTGAGGTTAGGTACCTTCCACGATGCATCACTACACTAATTATTGTTCTCTTCCGTTTTATCACATCAAAGACAAAACCCTACACTACAAAAAATTTTGAAGAGTCCCGACCACCGATACAATTGTTGGATCTAAAAAGAATCATACCGAATTGAAGAATAAAACTAGCACAATAAGCGCCAAGCAAAACAACTCGTGGCAATGACGAACCTCTCACTATCAATACTTTAGAAATTCAAGTGCTACAAAGATTAACATAGGCCACCCGGCACGCCAGTCTCGTACTAGGTTAAATACCGTAACGTAGGTCGCACCGGCAAAAACGATGTAACACAAATCAATTACAACAACAACAAAAAATATATTTTCAACGGACAAAACCAACAAGCATTTAAAATTCTGTTTAGTTATAAATGTATACGAACCAAGAATTAATGTAGACAGTTGATCAGCTAGTCCTTTACTGAGGTCATAAACGTACAACGTCACTGGGACCCCTTCCTCCGTCATGCTGGATCCAACACCTGCACAATGTAAAGGTTAACATTGACTTGGTGAGCGTAGAATCTGAGAGATATTGTCAATACTTGTGAAAATGTTGTCAGTATAACTTAATTACATCTTAGATTGCCCATATCTTGGTAAGCTATTTTAAACCATTAATAAAATAAATACCCCCGCCGCAGCAAACCTGCCGACTAAGCAAATTTATATTTCTCTGAATGATTTTCAATTAAATCTATTTAAATAACATTAGGTATTGCGAGTACCAAGGTATGCTACTACAAGAAAACTAAAACTAATAAAGTGTGTTTTAGTAAATATAATAGCTTAGTATGAAATAAATTAATTTGCCAAGTTTGATCAAAATATATCCATAAACAAGCAAAGTACAACCTTTTCAATATTCTCCATAAGAATAACATGGGAATTTTAAGTTTACAATTTTTTGAATTTTCTCCGTTACCAATAACCGTACAAAAACACTTTGATATATTGAATTATTGGTTTTTAAGCTATTTAATAAGGTCTAGAGGTCTAGAGATAAAGTACACATGTTTTGATTTTTTTCTGTACTGTATTTTATTGTTATTACCTATCACTTTAATGTTTTATTTGAATCTGTGGAAAAACGTTTATTTCATAGTTTTAAATTGTTTTGATACAAATTTGCCATTATATATGTTTAATCTTTATATATAGCATAATGCATTATTTGTTTTTGTTCTCCAGTACGTCTTTTAGATTGTAATGGTTCCTCAACACGAGAAAATGAGGAACCTAACTATTCATCTCAATTTGTATTTGTTATAGGTAACTATGTCTTGTATTCTATGTAATGTATATTAATTGTCAATTGTTATTTTGTTGTATTGTTGAATGAATAAAGATATTTTGAATTGAATTGAAATTGGGAAATTTTGTGTTTTGAGGGTCAAAAAAATTGTTGCCCCATAAAACCCCCGTTCCCATGGTCCGATCATGCTGGTTCACGAAACTCATTCAAGTTTATATTGCCCTACACTTGAAACCGAATTTCATCAAAATCGGATAAAAATTACTCAAGATATTGCGTTCACGGACATATATGTATATAAATTTGAACGAATGGTGTTTTTTGCCTCTGGGGACATCAAAATGTAAAAGTAAATCGGTCCCGGGCCTATGTCTTACCGTGCCAACTACAGTAATAGCTACTTCCCTACAGCGAAATTTGCTAATAGAGAGAAACAAGTGTTATTTGAAATGTCAACCATTTGTGATAATCTTCATGAGAAAAGCACTTGTGTAAGTTTTGTGCATTTTTTTACCAAACTTGAACTATATTGGATTACCTTTTGTTTACCTGACTTTAAATATAATTTAATTAATTACTTACGATATTATACTTATTAAATCAATTTAATCTCAATCACAAGTTTAAGTGAATATAAAAACTTACATATTTAATTTGACAAAAAAATTGCAGCAATTCATCGAGCCAGCTACGCATTTCAACCTTCAAGGTGGTCCAAAATTCAAAATAATTTAGCCTATAAAATTATTCAACATACCTGTCAACAATAAAATCCAAAACTTTGAAAATCCGTCCTCAAATGAAAACAGGACTATATGAGTCGCGATGGATTCACAAATGCAACTATGTGTTTGTGTCCACCTCCACAACTTGGGTAGTAGGCGAGGTAAAAATAGCAAACACGAGCAAAAGTTGGCAACATTGGCACCTGCAATGTGTCGTCACACAGGATCAATCTTCTAAACCTAACTACGGACAGGCCCGGTTATAGGAACACCCCTACCATGTAAAATGTTTCAATTATCTATACACTTAATACAATAAGGGGTTCTCTGTTACATCCCTTTTTTCAGCTGTCCTACGCAACCGATTTTCACGATTGAGGTGTCATTTCAAGGCCCATAATCCAGTACACCTGCGAATAGGAATGAAAAAAGTGATTTCCTTAGGGGCTTTGTCCCTTATTCGTTAAAATTGTTTCTTGAGTTCAATTTCAAATATCCAAAGTGTTGTTGACCAGCCTCTCTTTAAAACAGTTTAAAAATAAGAATTATAATATAACTAGCTGTACCCGCGGGCTTCGCCCCGTTTAACTTCATAAGTATTCGCATGGCTCATTCACGTCCTGGTTGAAGTTCGTTCGCTACGCTCACTCACCTTTAGGTTGGAGCTCGTTCGCTGCGCTCACTTGCCTTCAGGTTAGCTCGTTCGCTACGCTAACTCGCCTCCAGGTTGAAGTTCGTTCGCTACGCTCACTCACCTTTTGGTTGGAAATTAGCTGTTGTCATAAATAAAAAAAAAAAAAAATAGTGCTGCACCCTGTTGGTAATCCTTGTAACTTTTATGCTATTGAATATCATAGAACAGAACCAACTTGTATAATTGAAACAGCTGTTAAGATTCATTAATTCCTTTTAAATATGAAAAATCATAAGATTAACATGGGGAACTACAGAGCCACTGGGGCGGAGCCCGAAAGGGTTTTTGAGATAAGAATATGCTTTAATGTTAATCGGGAATGTGAGCTATCATCATGCCAAATTTCAGCCCAATCCGTCCAGTAGTTTATGCGTGATTGAGCAACAAACACACACACAAACACACACACAAACATACACACAAACATACACACAAACTCACAAACTTTCAGATTTATAATATTAGTAAGATATAACATCTGGTCCTTCAGTTTAATGTTCAGTTTAACCACAGTCAGGTTGTAAACAAGAGGAAACAGTTTTAAAGTTTTTATAGTTTATAGATTATATTTTTCAGTTTTTATAAATTTTAAAAAGACTATTTTTTGGTAATTATTGTAAACTTTGTAGGTAGATCACTCTTCAACCTTTATGGTGTAGATCTTTGAAAATTAAACAGGTATTGCATTATTATTTTTACCTTGGAATGAAGTTTTCAACGCCATTAAAATGCACTATTTGCATATAGGTCTCCTCGTAGTAGCTAAAAGGAGTTTATATTGATTGAAATATATGTGTTTTAGTAATCTAAGCAATAAACTTAGAAAAAATACCCCTGCCGCAGCAAATCTGCTGACTAAGCAAATTTTAATTGGTCTCTCATTTCCACAACGTCATAGGCCTATTCACTTCATTGTTTTCCCCTCGGGCTTCACCCTGTGGATGTCCAAAGTTTTGAGGTGAGGTTTTCAAAGGTAAATATAGATTGGTCTCCTTAGCAGGATGAGAGAACTCATTATGTTTATCTTTGCTTTGACATTTCAATGTATACAAAAAGAACTGCCGAATGCTAATTAAAAAAAAATTGACAGCCAATCCAAAGAAATTAAATATATTTTACACAACTATGTGGTAGGATTGTTTAATCTAAAACTTTATCATAGATTATATATTCTAAATCTTTGTCAATGATTATGAAACTGATTTTTTTTTCTGGTTGTGAAGCATGGGAAATTTAAATTTATAGCTTTTTGGAATTGTTTCCATATTTATTAAGCGTAAAACAACACTTCTATATATGCTGTACTTTTTTGTTTGTTTTTAAGCTCTACAATATAGTGTACAAAGAAATTTGCTAAATACTATGTTTTGGGTTTGAAACAAAAAGAACTGCTTAGAAGTGATTAAAATTGACAAAGTGCCAACAGGCTACTTATATTACACAAAAATGAATGTTTTACCCCACTAAAATATTAAGCTTTTACGTTCATTTATGTAATGAACGTAAAAGCAATCAATATTTTTACAAACTAGAAAACTATAGCTTGTTGTCTTACCTACGTACAATTAAAACACATAACCTTTCAACTCAAGTGGAAAATTAATAGACATTATTTGAAACAGTATCGTGCGAATGTTAACTCACAGCTTATTCCATATGCTTTCCAAACAAACTTTATCTACAGCTAGAATATTCACTGATAAAACAAAAACAATTAATTACGACTGATAACGTTGATGTATATGGTAAGGGATTTTAGACTGGAGTGGGGAGATGAGATTTTATACAATGTTGTCAAAATACTACAAACAATAGGTGTTATAAAAGCTATTTACCTAGGAGCAAACACGTATATTTTTACGAGTACCGGTACCAAACAGTTTGCTCTAATGAAATTGAAGACTTCATAATATCATATGGTTAACCCTACCCTAGTAAAATTCAGATTATGGATATTATTTATTTTTACCATTAAAATCACCTGTTTCTGAATTTGGATTGGTTCTACAGACGGATTCATTTTCCAAATGTACTATAGCCTAAATTATTGATGCTAACTAAAAAAAATCGAAAGTTATTATAGTATCAAGGGTTTGGAGCAGAGTCTTAAAATCATGAATTTCTAATGATGTCAAAACATACAAAAAATAAAAACTTTATAACAGTTGTTAGCTGTATTTGAATAAATACTATTTATACGCACGCAAGAGGATTCTAGTGCAATGATCTTTAGATAAAAGGAAAATTTGTAAAAAAGTTTGATGGTTATAAGTTACGGTCAATTAATGTCTATAAAAAATCTAAATATATTAACTAGTACTTAAGTCCCAAGAAGCAACTAGACTTGGCCTTAAAATCCATAGGCCTACCAAGACTATTAATTAATTAAAAATTTACTTTTTACTTTTTTATACTCTGATAGAAATCAAATATAACATCAGCTTTGCTAAATGTGTAAGACATTCTTTGTTTGAAGTTCATTGTTGGTGATGGTGAGTTTATGTTGTTCAAAGGTTTATTGCGGACATTTTCCATCACGAATGTAAAAAAACAATACACAACGTTTCAGGATCTGGAATCTGATCCCGTCCTCAGGTGAAAAAACTTAAATAACACATTACAACTAACAATAAACAAACGCCCAACCTATGTTGGAATACACTACAGAGGGTAGCAGTCAAAAAAATATGCACTGTATAGCAGTCAAGTCATGATACAACATGCAAAATATAACACATCACAAAACACTATAATCTATCACCTGAGGACGGGATCAGATTCCAGATCCTGAAACGTTGTGTATTGTTTTTTTTTTTAAATTGGTGATGGAAAATGTCCGCAGTAAACCTTTGAACAACGTGTCAGATATATTTTTACTATACAATTTAATTTGAAAAGCTATTGATACAAGTTTCCCGGCCTTTTAAGTTGAATAGTTTTCAAAATACCTTTCTTAAACCATTTGTTAGGATTGAAGAAATCTTGGCCATAAATTTAAACATTCTTTGATTTAAAATGCTATCAATGACATAATAGTATTGTAATTATTGTGTCCGATTCAGGTCAGCTTCATAGCAGACACTACTACCTTGACTACTAACTTTAAAATGTAGGCCCTTCTTCAGCAATATAACATCTGTTTGAAATATAAATATATATTTTTTTAACTTTATTTAATTTACAATCTGTTCAAGTTGAACAATAAGCAAATGATATGTAGTAATACAAAAATAACTTGAGGAAAATGAGCTAGTGATTGACCACCGTCAACACTAGCTAACAAAGAGAACTTTTATAACACTTAGCCGAATCTGAATGGTAGGTCCAATATCGTTTGTCGCTTCAGTCTGTAAATGGTGTTGTGATTGTCCAATAAATTAAGTGCAAGATGATTTGAATGATTTTCCAATTTTATAATGTATTTTTCACTAGATTTTGTAATTTCTTCTTTTACTGTTCGAATTTGAAGATCATTGTGAAGTGTTCTGTTGGTAACAAACCAAGGAGCGTTGACAATTTTACGTAATAATTTTGATTGGTAACGTTGAATAATTTCAATGTTTGAGGTACTTGCTGATCCCCAAAGCTGAATACCATAAGTCCAAATTGGTTTAAGAACTGTTTTGTACAGTAACAATTTATTTTGTGTACTGAGTTTTGATTTAGATCCAAAAGCCAATTAAGTTTAGTTGTTTTTAAATTTAGATGTTGTCTTTTAGTCCAGATATATGCCTTCCAATTAAGCTTTGCATCTAAGTGCATGCCCAAGTAGTTTATTTCTGTTACTTGAGGGAGGTGAATATTATATGTACATTTTTTATTCTGAAACATACAATCAAGAAGTAAGGAGAAAAATAAAAAAAATCCCTACCAGAATTACATTAGGTACAAATATTTTACAAAAATTTTACTAAAAGGACGGCGACCAATTTGACAGCTAAGGAAAGTGAAAGAGAAAACTTGGCATGGGCATTGGACAAGATATTCTTAGAATAGAACAGGTAAAAAAGTCAAGATCGCAAAACTAGGGCAAAGCGTAAACAAGTGACTTTTGATCTATGGTTATTTTATCTTAAACCCTTATTGGGTAAATAATCTTAGATTCAATGATCAAATCAAATAGAGGTAAACGAAATGAAGGTAAACGTAGTAGTGGTAGACCATTTGTTTTTCTACCAATACCATAGATCGTAATCATGTTTGTTTTTACTGTTTACTAAATAATCAATTAATTTAATTTAAATATTATTATAGATTTATATATTAATAAAGACATGCTAGTGGTCGTCCAGTGGTCGAAAAATCAAAATCAAAAATATGTAATTTGACTTTTCTATTTTAACCCCACACTATAAATAAAACATGTGATTGGAATTTCTTCCATTTGTTTTGATTTTTCTGTTTATATTTTGTTGTTATTTTGTCACCAACATGGCAACCTATTA